AGGTTTTCGAGCTGCTGGGTTGACAGGAGCTGGGGAGGAAGCAGGAGCTCACTCTGCTGCGCAGAGCTGGGCTTGAACCGCTGAAATGTCAACCATTTCTGGCCAGCAACCTTCAGCGTCATTAAGCCGCTGCACCACCACATCCCTCGAGGTATAGTTAAAACCTCTCAAACAGTTCAGGTTTTTAAAATTAACAAAAATAATCATGATTTAAGTTTTCATTACAGATAGTCCTCACTTAACAACAGTAATTGGGACTGAAATTTCCATTGCTGAGCAATGTGGTTGTAAAGCATAACATCACATGACTGCATGGCTAAGTAATGGAAATCCCGGCAATCCCCATTGCTGTTGTTAAGTGAGGATCACAGGTTGTTAAGCAAGGACCTCCTCGCAACCTCCAACAAGCAAAGTCAGTGGGGAAGCTGGCAGGAAATTGCAAGGCCCAGGAGGCTTGCAAGCAGGCTAGCAGGTGGGTAAGTGGCCGCCGCGGTGCAGGGTGAACATGGCAAGATGTGGGTGGCTGCTGCTGGGTGAGGGAGGGTGTGCACGCAGCCACCACATTGTTGCCCAAGCGCAGCTGGGCCGGGGGTATCTGCTGCCAGTTGGGCGAGGGTTTGCAGGGGGCTGGTGTGGTGCAAGCATGGCGGGGCTGGGGGTGGCTGCTGCCTGGTGAGGGAAGATGTGCAGGGGGTGCTGTGGGCATGCATGCGCACTATGGAACACGAGATCGCAGTAGCTGGACTCCTGGGTAGAAAAAGTTGCAGGAGTATGAGTGACTTACAGAAGCCATTGATTTTGCTTGTGGGAAGCCAGTAGGGAAGGTTGCAAACAGCAGTCATGGATCCACAGGACGCTGCAACTGTCTGTGTGAGCCAGTTGCCAAGCGCCCGGATCATGATGACGTGACCGCAGGGGTGCTGGGACAGCTGGAACTTTGAGGACTGGTTGTAAATACCACATGTTCAGCACTGTCATAACTATGAACAGTCACTGAACGAGCGGTCATTAACCAAGGACTGTCTGTAATGCTTCCTCAGTCCCCATTTCTGTATGGTATAAAAATGAAGGACCATACTATTTTATTGCTATAATTCAGTTTGTCCAATTTGATGCTTTCCAGATCTGCTGGGACTTCAGTTGGAAATTTTATGAACTGTAGCCTTAAACACATCTGGGAGGAACAATGTTATGAAAGAATATTAAATTCGGCTAATTAATTTCTAAGCCAGTGTTTAAAGCATGTGCATAGGCACGCATGCACACACATGCACGCACATGCACACACACACAGGATTGTTGAATCGGAAGGAACCATTTAGGATGAATCTAACCCCCAACATAGTGCACAAATCCCTGGTAAAGCCTACTGGACAGATGGTTGTCTAGCCTTTGCTCATCACCTTTCTGGGTCATGTATTCCACTGAATGGTTCTTATTATTAGGAAGGTTGTTTAAAAACATTCAGTCTGAATCTCCCTTCTTCCAAGTCAAATCTATTATTCTGTGTCTTGCACCCAGGAATGATAGAGAACAGTTATGAATCTTCTCCGTGCCAATAAGATTTTATATTTTGGTTTAGTGGATTTATTTTCTGCCTTTGTACGTAAGAAAAATGGCACTGAAAGGGGCTAAGAGAGTGGAAAAACAATGCAAAATTAATCAAAGCACAGCATCAGAGCATAAATTAATTAAAAATAGCAACAGAACAATGGAAGAATAGCCAGAAACGTATTACATAATTTATAATCTTTTTAGAATAAACCATATTATAGTATTTATTTCTATTCCTTATTTGAGGAATGTTAGCTCACCTGGTTTGTCCTATCCTATTAGATCTGTTAGAAGCAGCACTTGAGTTTACTTGCTAGGGAGAAGACATCCTACCAAACAGCTCTTCCCGTGTTAAAAAATAATGTTTGTAATCTGGAGTTGAAAAGTCGGAGACAATTCTTCCCCACTATGTTCTGACTGGGAAATGTGCTGGGTGTCTCTGGAAAAAGTCCCTCCATTCCTGCCTCTGTCCACACATGGATGTTTGTATTAATAACAGAAGTTTTATTAATTCAGATCCTGAATTGCTGCCCACTGACACTTTAAACATAATAAATACTATACTTTTACATTGAAACCCAAAGGAGTATCCGTTTTGAAACTAAAAAATATATTACTCTGTGATTGCAAACTGTAGAAATTCATATATGTTTTTTGGTTCTACCATCACAATGTAATTCTGTTAATTGAGCAGTTCCCATTGGAATCTTTATAGTTTATCCTATTCAATAGCAATAACTTGAATGATTATATTTCATTTATACAGTATAAGAGAATTAAGCCACTTAAAATCAGCAAAAAACAAAGCCTTGCTTTGGATTGCATATAAAGCCTGCCATTGAAAGTTTGTTTCAGCTTCAAAATTTTAGTAGTATAACAGCATTCACTTTTTTCTAAATGAAATCTGCATTAGAAAGTTGGTGATCGGAGCATATGATAAGAGATGTCACTGAATAATAATTCTGATTTGCATTCACTTGGCTTTTCTATGCCACAAAGTAACCATATTGAAGCAATATAAACAACTCTAATAACTATCTTCCAAATCAGTAGATAGTTCTTGTGTCAATATTAATTGCATGTATTTATTTTACAGTACGGAGCTTAATTCGTCTTTTTGATTTGTGGATAGGATTGGGTGAATTAATTAATTTCACATTTTAGCAATTTCATTGTGGAGGGGGAGGGGGATAGTTATGAAGTCATGTAGATCCTGTCTGTGACAAGGTATGAACAAACTGGAAAGTGCCTTAGATTTATTTATCTTTCACCCAAACCTTGTTACTTAAAATTCTCTCTTATTTCTAGTTTGAATCAACTGGACTCGGACTCAGCAGCAGTAGGCTTCGTACCACCCTGAACAGAATCCAGGAAAGCTTGATTGATCTGGTAAGTCATAGGACTTTGCTAGAATTTTTGCAAGAGGAGAAAAAATGGGAAGACTATTGTATCTTCAAATGTATCTTGAAAAGTATGGGGACTTAAAATGTATTTTATATCCACCAGAACAACAGTTTTAAGAATTTGTAGACACCCTCCAAAAATGTATGTTATCTTCCCTTTCATTCTACTTACACAAGTAGAATTAATGTCCTCCTTCCTCTGTATTTTATGTTCATGAACAAAATAAACCCGTAATGTAGATGCTGTGCTGTAGTGCATGTTCTTAGGTGGGAAAAAGTGTTGATTAGCTCCTTGAACACATTTGAACTAAATGGAGCATACAGTAATTCTTTTGCATTAAATATTGTGCCTGATGGGCCTAAACCATTTTCTACCAACTTTATTTATAACATGGCTTTGAAACAATCTGGGATCCCCTTAAGACCACCAAAAAAAAAAAATTGCAGAAGGTAGAAGGCAGATTTCTGTGACAGATTGGTCTCAGAATGCCTATGGATATGAAAGAGAGTAGCAAGGACAGTAGAAAAGTTCTGTTCTTGAATTCTTTCAAAATTGCACCATCAATTTATACTTTTGTGAATTGATTTAGTTACTCAATAAGGCTTAGTTAGTTTCTTTGATGGAAAGCCCTTCTGTGACACTGTGGTGGCTAGTGTAATAATTTCCATCAGAGTTGAACTTTAATTACATTTTGGTGATGGAACAATGTTTTTCCTTTATTCTGTGAATTTTCAGTGTCATCATTATAGCCTTCTCTTAGCGCAAGCTGTCAGCCATGATGACTGAAGCAATTTTACTACCATGAACAGTTGGAAAAATAGGCTTCTAAATTTCTTTTTCCCCCCAATTCCACAAAATTGGGCTGTCATTTCACAGTGATTGACCAATTGGGAAATTGGAAAAATTTTGCAATTCACAGGCTATTTGATCTGTCAAGGAACCAAGTGTCAGGTCTTACACTTTCATATGCAGGAATATATATGTTTTTTTTAAATGATATATAATTTTATCAGAATATGATATTATGATGTATTATACACATTTAAAGTAATAACAATATTTAAAAGATTTTTACCAAAATTATGGAGCTGATAATATGGATGGTTGACATATAAGAATTACATTTCATTGCAGGGAAATATCTAGAGATATGAAAATTGTTTGGACATGTTTAGTAATAACAGTTCCCTCACTAGTTCTGATTCTCTGCTATTTATTGAGGAGATAAGCAAAATAAGACCTCACAAATTCAGTTCATGTTCTTGATGGAAAGAGTATAGAACTGTTGAAAGCATCTATTTGGCCCTGCATTTAATTTTCTTTTTCTGATGAAGGAGATTGTTGCCATTTTGAGCAGGGCTTTGTTTAAAGATATATGTGCTAATGGTCTCTGATAATTCCCAGAATTTTTCAAATAGTACATAAAAAATAGTTTATAAATTGCTGACTTGGGATGTCTTTATATTACATTGCATTAAACAGGAGTACAAATTTTGGGTGGGGCCCCTAATATTCAGTCATGTCGCTCAAAGAAAGCTCTGGGGCTGCTGAAAAAGGGTCTGCCCTGTGGTTTCAGTTTGCCCTTCCTGCATTCATGGGGGCAGGGGCACCTGCCAGAGGGATGTCAGAAAAGTCAAGATGGTGGTCACAACTGTGCAGTCAAAGTCCCACCTTGGCAGTGCATTCGCAGGTCTGAGATTGCAGCCCCCACGTAGGGTTTTTTGACACCTCCCCCCTCTCCCCATGGTCCACTCTGCATTGAAGCTGAGCTTAATACAGTTCTCCCTTTCCACACAGGTGTGGTTTTGGAATCACTACATATATACAAATACCCATTGAAGATACATGAGGACTGGAAATCCAGAGGAAAATTCTAAAGAGGATAAACATGTTAGACTTTTGACAGCACTTGCTAACAGTGCTTGTTATAACATCCATGGGTTTCAGATTGCAGTATAACACATGATGAGAGTCCATGTCTTTGATCATTAAACTACTCTAGGATGAGGAGTAGTGTAGATGCAGCACAGGGATAGACCATGTTGTTTGCAAACAGTGTATGGGTTTAGGTTTAAGTCCTGTATCTCTCTCTCTTTCTCTTTTTGTAAGAATTGATGAATGGAATGACCACTTTCTCCCTGAGACCCTAGAATCTTTCCTTCCTTTAGCTGGACAAATACTTTCACTGAAAATGAAGCAGAGTTCTTTCTTAATATATATTTGTTTTCCTTCAAGGAAAGGTTTCCTAAAAGAAAGTTTAAGGTTTTAAACTGGTAAATGTTTCACTGAGAATCAGGTTAAGTTTGTATTCTTTATATCCTCTTCTTTTTTTAAACCATCTAAATGGTAATCTCAGTAAGATATTTGTTTTCCAGAGTGTATTTGCACTAAATACGTATTTTGTCATTCTGCTCATGCACAGTTTATTTCTGAGCCCATACAAAAATGAAAGGAGTTAATTGGAGTAGCTAAGAGAGAAAAGTAGACTTCCCAAGAGAGAAAAAGATTGGGTCTGGCTTTGAGACATGTATATAAAACCTTGTTGTTGTCATTTAATTTGCGTTTATTAAGATGAACTTATACCATTTATGTTTACAGGAGAAAATTGCTCATACTAGGCAGAAATTTGAATATTTTACAAAAATCTAGAGGAAATGTTTTATACTAACCTTAGTATAACCTTATACTAACCTTAGATTGTTTGAAGCCCTTCCAAATGTGTTGGGTACAGACACAACTCCTAGAAAACTTCCAGAATTCATAGTCAAACATCGTTTTGGCCAGTGGGGCTAGGATTCTGGAAGTTATTGTTCCAAACCTCTGAAGGGTGCTAAGTAGAGAAAGTTTTTCATTAATGTATGTTTATATAAAGTAGACTATCTCACAGATCACCCTGTGTTTTCAGCTATAAATCTGCAGGGTTATACTTCCACTGGGAAGAAAAGCCTATGCTATTATAGCCATATCTATATAACTTCCCTTGATAGTCTACAGAATTAGCAGGCTGAGTGAAAGTCAGTGATCTCAGTCCTGCTCCTTTTTCTGGGTGGGAAATCTATATACAAAGAAGTAAAGTGAATGATCATTAGGACTGCTGCAAATTGGAGAACATTTTTCTTTAGCAGTTCAGGAACAGTTCTTTGATGATAGTTATGTATAGGACCATTGGAGCTTAAAGGCTGTTTGAGTCATAGTTTACAGGGGAACAGAAGTAGTGTCATGGTTGGTGGGTTGTTTCTTTTACCCTTGTAGAACAAGCTATCCATCCCTATAGGTTCCTCAGCCGTGGCAATAGGTAGCCTTCAACTCCCAGAATTCCCCAGCCAGCCTGCTATAGATGGATGGGTGAATGCAAATCATGTGTTGCCCAGGAGACCGATTAAGTTCTCAACTGCTTAGACTGAATCAAGTATTGTTGTGAATATAGCACAAGCTGGCTTAGAATGTATAACTTTTTATTATTTTAAAAAGATTGTATTATGCGCTTTAGTTGCAATATTCTGCATGATTGCTTAGAGGTAATCTTTGAATTCAACCATGCTTTCACCTGAACAACCATATACAAAGAAGTGCATCTCTTTTATGTAATTGTAGGCAATCTAAAAAATCAAAGCACATTACAAAAATGTCTGCCAAATTTATTTAAAGATTTAATAAGTGGGCAGCTAGGGTTTGCATGAGTTCTCAGTTTCTAATCTGTTTGCTGTAGCAGTTTTAATAAGCAGAAAATAGCACCAACTACTTTTCAGACTTTTAAAGATGATTTGTTCATATCAAAGGTCTAAGACTTCAAGCAATCTTCTTTACCCATTCTATTCCTTAATTTCCGAGAAATCTTTCTTTGGTAATGACGTCTAGCTGTTACCTTTTTGACCAACTGCATTTTGGATGATTTCCTGCTCCATGTTGACTTTGAATTGTTCTATTAAGTTTAATAAGGATAATTTTGCTTTAAATAAGGCAAGTTCTTAAGTGGTTCTGTCAGAAGCAAAAAAAGTAATCAGTTGCATCAAACAGAAGTAATTTCAGACCCATTTTCATTTATGACTTAAGAGATTTGGGCATATTGCTTTAGAATTAATTAAGATAAACATTAAGGTCATATGTGTGCAGGGAAAAGGTTCAGCATTCACTTCTCAACAATACTAAGGATAAAAAGGACATAAATCTACTAGAGAACATTTTAAAGGAGCTATAGGAAATTAAACCAGCTCTTGGGTATTAGTTCTTTAGTTGTTCTTCTGGATCTGAAAAGCTATCTTGGTGGTTGGATGTATTTGATTAGCCCTGGTCATGTCTTATATGTGGGGAGGAGAAGAGATGGTGTTGTCTACAAATTGTTGGAATTGGGCATATATCCAAAGTTCATGTGGATGTGTTTTGTGTTCCCAGCTATTCCTGGTAAGTAGAAGATAATGTATAGCAGATCTACCTAATATCTTGATCAAAGATTGTGGTACTGGGCTAGAATGACTAATGGTCTTACTCAGTTTAAGGAAGTACACAATCTTACCTTCCATAAATTTATCTACCTACGACTATTATACAACTGGGCTGTATGAAACATCCAGTGGGAATCTACTGGGGCACAGATGTTTCATAATTTTAAAATTCCTTTTACATCACCTATAAGCAAAGCAATAAACTGGGTTGTCACTCCTCTGCTGTGAGTTTAAGGCCATGGTTCTCCAAGGAATCTTTATGAATATTATGCAGTGTTTGTCTCTTGTATAGATTGTTTAACATTAAATTCACAGAGAACTTGTTCGTTCGATAACAGAACAAGGACACATTTTGGTTTGCAATATATTTAGTAAGTGAAGTTTTAATTAATATCATCCATCAACATGAAGGGTAAGAGATTAGTTTCTGTACCCATGCTTGTATATTTTGATGGCTATACACTGGACTATAGTCAGATGTAGAATATATCCTTTAAAAAAGCAGATACATTTTTTAGTTTATCTAGAATTTTGCAAGGTAATGGGTAGTCTAGTTTCCATATTTGGCAGAAAGATTTTGAGAAGGGGAAGATGCATCTTTTGACATCTTTCTGTTGAAACCAAGATAATGGCCTGTTAAATAATTTGAATTATTGTTAGAGAGATGGAGGGCCAAATTATATATTAATTTCATTGTGTTACTTGCCCATGAGGACAGATTTTTCTCTCCACAAATAGCAATATTGTGGTTTGGCTTAATTTTTCAATATAGAAAAATAGGTTAATAATCTTTATCTCTGGTAAGCCTGGTAAGTTGCTTGGGCAGGCTTTGCTAGATTAATGAGTGGGGTGGGATGGGGGGGGTAATTGTTTGCCTCTTGTTCCTTGTTGCTGAAGAAAAGATGGTATCATATTTCCAGTGTAGGCTTTGTATGTGTCTGCCTATTAAGATTATAAGAAATTCAGAGATGGTTAGATAGGAAAAAAGAGCTGTTCATCAAGTCCATTCATATGTCCAATAGAAAACATCACCAGTCCATGATCTGTCTTCCTCCTGTCTGATTATCAGAAACACTATTGAGCAAAATATGTTGAGGACAGATAACATGTCTTTGTGAATGGCACTTGTACACCTGGCAGTTGCTCAAAAATCTTTTTTTTTCCCTAAGCAGTAGAAGAAAATGCAAGATGTTTCACTCTTGAGTGTGGGAAATGATTGAGACCAGTAAACAAACCAGTAAAAAAAAATTCAGTGTCTACCTGCCTTTTGATGTCTTAAAGGAAGACTTTTTCATTGGTAAATTGATATTATAGAACAGTAAAATGATTCTTTAAAGAAGAAGAATGTGGTTCTTTGGATGTGATCAGTATGTTGGATCAAAGGATTACTATCTTTTGATGGGAACACAAGAAAATTTTATTAGCTTCTTTCTTCATTTGTATCCTGTCCCTATGTCAACTTGCAGCACCACAGCTAGGATTGCAGGACATGTCCTTCTGTTCAGGTATTTGGATCAAAAGCAGGGCTTTCTGAGGGCCAGCACGTTGACTCAAAAAATCCTAAACTGTAAGAGCTGTGACTTTTTTCCCTCTTTTCTTCTGCTCCTGCTTTTCTTTTCTTCTGCCCCAACAGCAGATTTCTTCTTAATTTTCTTTTTCCAAATTTTGTGGCTTTTCCCTCTTCTGTTGGTCACATGAGGATACTTGATTGATTATGAATCACACAGTATGGAATGGTTTTGTGGTAGTACAAAAATAGTCAGATTTATGTCTATGATGATTTCCCTGAAGACAATCAATGCCAATTCATTTTTTTATAACTTTATTAAATTTTAAAAAACAGAAAGATAAAAACAAACAAGAAATAATAATCAAGAAAGAGAAGAAAAGAAAGAATAAAGAGAAAGAAAGAAAGCAAACGTGCAAAAAAAAAGACAGAAAAAGAAACAGAAATACAAAAAAAGAATGACTTCTGACTTCTTTTACAACAGATATAAGTAAAACATACATTAAACACTTTAAGATTTCAACTTATCCATTTTTTCTATAATCTATTAGTTTTACTAATCATCAAATCTATATATCATTATTTTTTTTTTCTGTTTCCCGCAAAAAGTCCAAAGAGGGCTTCCAATTAGCATTAAAATTAGCCAATGTCTTTTCTCTAATCAAAGCTGTCAATTTCACCTTCTCGGCTAGCTCCGTCAACTTTACAATCCATTCTTCCATTGTAGGTAATATCGAGTCCTTCCACCATTGGACATATAAAAGTCTCGATGCGGTTATTATATATAAAACCAAAGGTCCATAAGATTTTTCCAGTTGTTTATTTATCAGCCACAAAAGTTTCAACTGATATTAATCTTCAAAATCAAAATTAATATATGTATTTGAATCCAATTTTTTTTTTAGCTTTATTACATGTCCACCAAAGGTGATAAAAAGTCCCTTCTTGTTGTTCACATTTCCAACATATATTTGAAGTCCCTTTGTACATTTTTGACAGTCTTTCTGGTGGCAGATACCATTGATACATCATTTTATAAAAATTCTCTTTAAGATTATAACATAATGTAAATTTCAGCCCTGTCATCCACATATTTTCCCATTGTTCCATTTATATATTATATCTATTTGAAGTCCCTTTGTACATTTTTGACAGTCTTTCTGGTGGCAGATACCATTGATACATCATTTTATAAAAATTCTCTTTAAGATTATAACATAATGTAAATTTCAGCCCTGTCATCCACATATTTTCCCATTGTTCCATTTATATATTATATCCAAAGTTTTAGCCCATTTTATCATACATTCTTTAACTTGTTCATCTTCTGTTTCAGATCTCAACAAAAGTTATACATTTTAGCAATAAGATGTTCATCATTAGTACATAACTCAATTTCAAATACAGTTTTATCACGTTCAAAACCATATTTTTTTCAATTAACTTTAAATCTTTCTACTAATTGTACATGTGAAAACCATTGACACACACATCCTTCTGATATCAAGTCTTCTCTTGATTTTATTTTAAATTTACCCTGGTAGAAATCTAAAATGTTACCATAAGTTAGCCATTTCTGTTTAATAACCATTTGTCTTCTATAATGTGCTTCATAAAGGTATTTTCGGACACAATCTAGATTTATATCTATTGCAAATTGTCAAAATGGCATGTCTAATAAAATGATTTTTGAAATCTACATTAACTTTGTCCTATCATAATGAGCCGTGCCATCCAAATCTCAAATCATGTCCTTCTAAATCCAATAGCCTTCTGTTTCTTAGTGTCACCCACTCTTTCATCCAGACTAAACAGCAAGCTGCAAAATCCAGTTTCAAATCAGGTAAAGCTAAACCTCCTCTTTCTTTGGCATCTTGCAACACCTTGTATTTAACTCGTAGTTTTTTGCCTTGCCACACACATTTAGATATATCCTTCCTTTGTTTAAATGGTAAGTCAGTAGTCACAGCTGGTATTGTCTGAAACAAGAATAACATCCTAGGCAAAACATGCATTTTTATCACAGAAATTCTTCCCAACAATGATAATTGTAGTTTCTCCCATCTTAACATGTCTTTTTTAGCTTCATTCCATGTCTTAACATAATTATTCTGAAACAACATACAGTTCGTATTTGTCAAAAATATGTTCAGAAATCATTGTCCTCTCTGCAAATAAGTGAACAGTTTTGCTTCTTTTAATGAGATTGTAAAACAAACAAACAACAACAAAACAAGCACATAGGGGATCGTACTGATGAAAGTGCTTGTAAACTACCATGGCTTTGGTGCAACCTCTGAGTTACATTTCAAACAACTTGTGCTTTGAATTAAAATTTACAGTGGTTTATTTACTGCAGAGTTATTAAAATGTCTGTGGTTTCAAATAGTTCAAGTGCTAAATCCCATTAGCAAGGGATTACCCAACCAATAATTTTGCATCTCTCAGGGGCTTCATTCAAAACAGCCCTTGTTCTGTTCAACATCATTAATGAGATGGGAGAGAGTCTTTCCCAACAGTGCACTGGAAAAGATACTTAAAAATCACAGAATTGTAAAGTTGGAAGGGCCAATTAGGCCATCAAATCCAACCTCTTATTCCCTGCAGGCATCCAAACTTAAACACCTCCAACAGATGACTGTCTAGCCTCCACTTAAACATGTTCAGTGAAAGGGATCCCAATATAATTCTGGGTTTCCTGTTGCAAGCTAACTTGTAGTTTTGAATATGATCTGAGTTTCCATTTAATTGTCAGTGTAGATGGTGATAGCTGACTTCTCAGAATCTTCCTATATTGCAAATCATTTAGGTTATCTTTTCAGTTATCTAGATTATTGCAAATATTTTATGAGAAACCATTATTTTTTTTTGTTCCTAAAGCTTTTCTTTCTGCAACCCTAGCTGGTCCACCTAACTTGATCGTAGTAATTGGTCCGTCCCTAAAAGTGCATGTATTTCACTTTCTTGGAGCAATGGGGGAGTGGGTTCATGAGAATGTTCCTCGGCTGCGATGTATGAATTCTAATCAGGCTCTCTTGGCCCTCACTTAAATACCATGGAAGTATGGCTTCAGAGGAAATAGGAATTCCTACTCAACAAAGCCAGATTGTTATTGCGAGAAGCAATATTTGTATATACAATGCTCATAAAATGTATCAAAATCATAGGTTAGAAGATGTTATCATCGCTATCCATAAGAGAACCTTCAGGGCTGAAGATATGTAATATAGGATATGTAATGTAAATGTCTGCTAGAAGAAGCAAATATGCTAACTTTTCTGCCCTGGAAATGAGCTATATTATTAATTATGCTAGCTCAGGACTACTGAAGGTTGTCCTGATGATTGTTGTCAGATTATCTGAATATTGCTTTAATTATGTTCCTTTGATCATAATTCCAGTCAGTTTAATTTCTTCCCCATCTGCTCCTATCCCTACTTCTTTTGCAGGATGTGTCCTCTGATGCTGCTGGAACACTGACTGCTGTTGAAGAAAGAAAGGAGAAAGTTCCAATGCCACATCTAAGTCATCTTGTAGTCTTGACATCTAGCAACACTCTTTATGGCTTGGGAGAGAGAGTGGTAGCCACAGAATCCTTGTGCGTTAAGAACTCTCAAACAATGTTTCTTTCTGCTTCTTAAAAGCAATTGCAGGAGATATTGCAAATTAACTTAGGCATCTGTTAATTAGTAAAACTGGGGCAGGGCAAAGTGAAGTCTGCAAACATCTTCCTGGCCCACCTCACTTAAGTCCATATACCTGAAAAGTGCCAGAGATGGGGAATGTTAGCATACAGCCACTTGCTCTTCAATTTGATCAATCACCCCTTTACAGCCATCGAAGGCATGTTTCAAGTGTTGGAACTGCAGATATTGCAGTTCCATTCTAAACAGGTCCATTATCAGTCAGATGCAAAACAGTCAGAACTTGGTATTAGTAAATTTTCTGTCTTGTTTCTTAGAGTATTTTTAGCTGAACAGTTTGAGTTCCTCCAGTCCCATCTGGATGCTGTAATGCCTCCAGCCAAGAAGCCTTTTCTTCAACAATTCTACTCACAGGTCAGGGTTCTGCATGCATTTATTCTTTTTGGTAATTTTGAGTGTGTCATTCATTGCTTTTCTTAAACAAACACCTTCAAAATGCATAACAAGAATTAGCCATTTACTTAATGTATTCTGTTTCTTAGTGTAATTACTACAATAGCATTTGGAAAAAAGTTGTTTAAATTTGTGTTTCAGACAGTTTCAACAGCCAGTGAACTACGCAAACCTATATACTGGATTGTAGCTGCTAAAGCAATTGATTATGAACAGATGCTACTTCTGATGGCAAATGTGAAATGGGATGTGAAAG